TCATTATAACGGGGGAGGAAAGGAAATCAATGATACTAAATTATGTGATTTTTATATGCAATTATACAAATACCTCCTCTTATTTTTGCCTTCATCTAATTACTTTTACCTTCAACCCTGCCTTTTCTCTCCTACACTTCCAGAGGCTGGAGCCTTTCTTATACTATATTTCAGAAGCTGCAGTGCAAAGCTCTTCTCTAAGTGTAACCATTACAGATATTTGGAGTGTAATCGCAGACATGACATCAGCTTATTCATATTGTGTTTGTGTCACTGAAATGCTGATTTTCCTCACAGTCTTACAATGTACCAATAAACTATATTTCCCTGGAATAAGGTGAGATTACATTTTCATTTTAAGTGCAAAGAGTAAGTATTGCTAATACAGGAAATATATACACCAAACCAATGACAGAAATTACAAAATGTTAAAAAACACGTGACTACTCAGATTCAAATGTAAGTCAGTCACCTGTAATTTTAATTACTTTTATTTTTAACACATCTCAGAAAAGTGTTATTAGTCAAACCGTGAGCAGCTGATAATAAATGCAAGGCCCTATCCACTCCAATTTTCCTCCCTGGCTGCTGGAAGTTCCATAAGCTTCCCTTGGATAGTGGCCAGGGATTCTGCTCTCCATACTGAAAGGGTGCTTCCAGGGCTAGATTAATGAAATCCAGGATCCTAGACACACCATGACTTGGGTGCCATGTAAATCCACCCTTGCAGCCCCATCCACACTAGAGAGCAGGGGCATCCCCTTCCCCTCGGGAGTAGCAGAGCCCCTCCCTCTCTCTGGAGATGCAGTGATGGCAGCAGATGGGACACCTGCTCCACTTCTTATCCTAGCAGTTGGGGTATATCTGCTTGGGTGAGTGGGCCAGGCACGCCTCCTTCTATCACACACACAATTCTCTGCGGGTGTGGCATTGGCAGTGCGTCACTGGCGTTAACACCCCATACAGATGAATGGAATGGGGCAGTTCATACTTCTCACAAATATTGTTTTGGGCATCATTGTACTGGATATCCTCGGGTCACATTTTCAAGCTTTTCTTTGCAACATAGATGCCAAAAACTTTCATTTTAAGGCCTTGTTTACACTAAAGGGAAAAGTCGATCTAAGCTACGCAATTTGAGTTACGTGAATAGCGTAACTCAAATAGACGTAGCTTAGATCTACTTACCGCGGGGTCCACACTATGCGACGTCGACGGGAGATGCTCTCCCATCGACTCCCCTTACTCTTCTTGATCAGGTGGAGCATAGGAGTCGATGGGAGAGTGATCGGCGGTCGATTTAGTGAAGACCCACTAAATCGACCACTGATGCATCTATCGCCACAGCGTCGATCCTCTGGTAAGTGTAGACAAGCCCTAAAGAAAAAGTGAACTGAGATTACAATCACATGCTTCCAGGAGCTGGGATTCTACCCATGGGTAGATTGCCTATGCTTTATCAGCCCTGGGTGATTTCCCTTTGGTAAAAACCATGAATTCTTCCACAATCACCAAAGCCTTCACTCTCCAAGGCACAGTCACTATATCTGACTGAACCAGAGTAAATGTGTCACGGGGACTGCTGCTTGGGGAAAGGGACTGATCCCTCCACTTTAATGACCTGAAGTGTAGGAATGGGAGTCAGATGAATGGCAAATGCATGTTAATCAGCCAGAAGGGATATTTAAAGAAGAGGTAGCCTGAATCAGTCTCTCCCTGGCTGAACAATAAAAGGTAGCTTGTAGGTAGGAAGACAAAGAATCGCCAGGTGGCCACAAAGAGCACTAACTGTCCCAAATAAAACTGTTGTTGCCTCAGAGGAGGAGGAAGAAAAAGTGCTCTCTTCCTGAAGGACGTCTAATAAAGAACAATGCCAAACTTCATGGGAAAAGGGTAGACGGCCTAGTCAGCAGCAGAGACCATGGGGATGGGCAAACAAAGTCCCTACTTTCTCCACTGGCAGAACCACCAGAAGAGTTACTAGAAAATCTTGTGGGCTGCAATGCCCAGAGTTTACATTAAGTCTGCTCTCTTAAGGTGTCTCCTGTATTGACAAATCCAAGCATTAAAAAACTCATACTTGCCCCCTCAATCATGATATTAAAAAAAAAACAACCACCAACGTGGGGTTATTTTTATTTGCCTTCTGGTTCTGAAACTTTAGGGTACACTTGCTTCATGTTTTCAAGCTTTTCCCCACAGCCATGAGGGCTAGAAACTCACTTTTTAAAAAACGAAAGCTGAGGTTCTCATGCGAGCTCTTGAATCTAGAAGCTAGGATTTTAAGAAAACCACCAAATACCAAGACAGAATGAAATGGTGAGAATTGGCAACACTGTTTTCTCAACATGTGTACCAGTGGCTAGGATAGAATTTCCACAGCCCACAAAAGATCAACAATCAGCTTCCCTGTAAGGATTTTGTACCCTATCAGGTTGTGGTAATTTTTTCTGCATCAGCGCTCAAGTTTTGATCTACAGAGCACTTGCTGGTGGTCCATGGGACGCTGGTTGGTCATTTGGTGCTGACTCTTCTTTCTTGTTTCCAGATTCTCTTGTAGGCGTTCAGGAACTGAAGACGACAAGCCTGGACACCTGTAAAAGAAGCTGGAAACGAGGCAGAGGAGCAGTCTGCCTAGCTGCTTCCATTAGGGGCCACTCCATTAAGAGGAATGGGTGAGGAAAACCAGAGACACCCTTTTGGACAGAGTCACCAACAAGACTGAAGCTGCCAGACACCATCAGAAAGCTCCAGGAGGAAGGGTATGCACCGAGGAGTGGGAGAAGAGAAGCAGGCAGTAGGGAAGTATCTGCAATGAAGCAATACTAGGAACAGGTGGCAGGGAAGCATGTGCAGGGCAGAACAGAACACAGTGGAACAGAATTTTAAAAGAAGAGCAAAAGGAGACCGTGGCTCCCCCCCACAAAGGTCATATCACACTAAAGACAGTTAACAAAACAAACATTTTCCTAATATTATTTGTCCATGTCGGCGATTTCTGTAGCTTCCCCAGGGATGTTGTATGATGACAAATGGGATATTGATTGGAAGGGGAGATGGTACATGAGCTGATACTGTTCAAATGGGATCTACAGTTTGAAAAAGTTTGAAAACCCTGCTTTAAAGGCTATGAAGGTAAGTGCAGGCAAGAGTCTCTAGTCTTGAAAGGTGTCCCCCTCCCCCCACATTTGTGCTGTTATTCTGAGAAGGCAAATACAGAATTGTCACCCCGCACTAGTCAAATCATTTATTTAATTGTAGAACTGCATTATGTAAGGAAGTTTGATAGCAAAATGAAAATAGGCCAAGAATCCAAAAATAATGTTTCTCAATATAGTTGCACCATTTGTACCCCTATAGGTAAGGGTGCCCCATCAGCATCCCAGTTATAAACCTATACACCTTTGCTATGTAAATCCACTCTGTACCACACTTGCCATCCCACACCGGACACTTACAAAGAAATATTCATTTTGATTTAAGAAGACCATTTCACTATGTCCAGGACCTGAAGAAGCTAGTAACGATTTCTGTACTTTAAAACTTAGAAAAAATGACTTTTAAAATATTAACAACAAAAGCAAGGACTAGGAACAATTAGATTTAAAAGACCTGGCTACCGTGCATGCAAACAGTATATGTCCAGAGGAGATGCTGAGTTCACTTGCCTTTTAAAAATTGTTTTAAGACACATATTTTCTGATTCTATATGTTTTTTTCTGAGTAAATAATCTCCCTCTTTCTCTCCCACACACACAAAGAGAATGCACGCAAGGATGTGTGATGGCATATTTATATATTAATTTTATAGCATCACAAAAAGCAGTGTCCTGGACTCTTCAGGCACTTATAAAGCCCAGAACTGCTGACAGATCAGGGTTCTAATTTGTACACTCATATAGGGAGACAAATTCTTTGTGTGTGAAATTATTTTTTTAAATTAAAAAATAAAATAAAAAAACAAATAAAGGTATGTTAGAAAATAAACACATTTTAAAAAACCCTAAAATTTTGGACAGATATTACATCCCCATTTCATGCCATGGTATTTAATTTAGTTTATTCATCTTTATACAAAAGTATAAATTAATAACAACATCTGACTGAATTTTTAGTTTACCTCGACATAACCTTGCTTTCCAAGTTAAAGTCAGACCTTAAGTTTATATTAATATTGTATACATATATAAATATAACTTAACCACAAAATAATGTGTGCAATTAACTTTTCTTCCCAACAGTGTTATCTTCCTAAGGCCGGATCAGTATTTTCTGAATTACAGTAAGTATAATTTATTTTTCAAATACTGAAGTACTATTTGTTCCAAACTACAAGATGCTTTTAAACCTTCCCCATCCATGATGATCATCAGCATTTAATATTCACTGTGGACGGGAACTTGCAACCACAATGCATTTTACAAAAACCTGACTATATACTTTAATCCTTCCAACTGCACCTGCAACACAAAGTATTACAGACTTTTTAAAACCTGCTCTCTTGAAAAGAAAAAATAAAAATAAAAAATTGTGCAGCATCAGTAACCAGATAATATTCTCAAATTTCAGTGATCTCGTCAATGGAGCCTTCCCCCATGTACTGTGCTCTGTTTCATGCAGTACATGGCTTTAGCTGGCCAAATCTTTTTTTTTTTTTTCTTTTTCCTCTGAATCAGTAGCACAGTGAAGATCTTACTTTTTTTTTTTTTTTTTTTTAGCAGTGGCATATCAATGAGGCACAGATGTGTATTCCAACTCTGCATGGATGAGCACACTGTTCAATAGTGCTGGCTCACACGGTATCAGGGTAAGTTATCACTTCCCATGAAGGCACTCTTATCACCAGGGCCCAGAGAGGTGGCTGCAAATCGCAGCCTTTTTATTTTCAAGGCAGTTTTGCTGAACATTCAGGCTTCAAAGATTCACACTTCCAAAACTCTATAAGAGTTTGTGAACGCTCAATTTGCCAAAACTGTTTACAGTGTAATTGGGCACCGTACCTGTGTCCATGAGATAGCGAAGGCGCTTCTCCACCAGCGCGGCACGGGTGTCAATTTGCTTTTGCTCATTCTCTAGTGCTGCCAATTCTCCTACAACATACTGACTGGTGTCTTTGAACCCTTTCTGTTGAAGAGAACAAACAAGAAGAAAAAACATCACTTGTAAGTTGCATTTTTCCTTTCCACAAAACACTTAGTAAGGCACTTACCTAAACAACCAAATATCCTGCTCACTACCAAAAAGCTAACACTTACATTTTATAAACCTCGCAATTTTGCCAAATATCATTATTTGGATGCACTATTTTTTTTTTAAAAAAGCATGGTTTCCTTAGAGAATATTTCAGTGTCTAGATGTTGATTCTGCAGTTTTAAACTACCTGATTTTTTGAAATTCTGTATAATTTATTGCTAAGTAAGAGCTGTTGTAATATAGAACATAGTAAACCTGGAGCAATAATCCAAAGGTACTATTTATATTATTATTTACATTGATAAGTTATGTGTGATTTCTATTACATCCAGTTTTTATTTTGTTTTAAAATGCTAACTTTTAGGGGCTGTGTTTTGAGAAAGAACCATCACAAGAACATCTTGGTGACAATGCAAAATGTGGGTTTTGGGATTAGAAAAACAAAAACAAACTTCCTTTCTTTTTGCATCTAGTTTCTCAGTGTCAATTCTACTGATGACGCTCACCAGACTAGGCTGTAATGCTTCTTCAGATTTCCCCTACTGCAGGCTATTGCCCTGTTAAACAATGATCTGTAAAAGTATTGGTAATTACTGTAGCCGTGATTCTTATCCTGACAGGTGGTGTCAAAATCCACTGCACAGTCTCTAAGATGCAATGGGACTACAAACTAGATCTGCTCCTCCTTCCCAGTTTTGTTAATCCCCAACTGCAATGAAGCCCCTGTATGTAGATTTTATAAATCACTTTAAAACGTTTTCACACCAGAACAGTTATACTGCACTAAAAAGTCAAGTCTGTCTTCTGTATCCTACATGTTTCAGCACTGTCTTGAAGGACAATATATATTGGTCCTCATGAATCTCACAAAATTTCCATAAACATCCTCAATGAACAAACCTGACTTACAAAATAGTTGGATCTCTCACTAGGATGTAGAGAGTGATCATTCAGTACCCCAAAGTTCTTTTCAGATGGCCAGATTGAGTTCCACTTCCTTTGGAGCACTATTTTGATTTGAGACATTCTCTTAGGGCCCGTCTACATGTGGGAAGCTGGGGTGTGAATCTACCTCTTGCTAGCCTAGGGCTTGAGCAAAGTGCATTAATGAACTATTAATGTACGTCAGCAGGGTCCACACAGATGGTTAGTCTGTGACAGGCTAGCAAGAGGTAGATCCACCTCCCATCTTGCTGCAAACTAAATGTTTGTATAGATGAGGCTGCCATAAAAGGGGTTTTACATAGTGCTGAAACATTATAGTTGGGGTATTTATGCAAAAGAAGTTAGGAGGAAAATACTACTATTTTAGTGATGCCTCCTCCACATTTTCTTCATAATCACCAATAAGCCTTCAGGAATTCTCCCCAAGGCTCTTTGAGACAGTTTTAAAGTTGAGAAGCTTAATACAGATGAGGCTTGTTTTCAGATTCCTCTTGTCCTTTGCAAAGGGATATACCTACAGCCATTATCCTTTGGGGATAGGAGGGGAAAATGCAGGCTCTTTTATCATCTGTATTTCCCTATCACTGGCTAACTTGTTGCTGGATTAGTTAGTCAGTCACAACTAATTTGACTGAATTTTTTCAATTGTTTCTCAGTAAATATTGCTGAAAGAGTCAGTACAGCTTCACAGTCGGACAATAGGGATAACAATCATTATAGCAGGGTATTACTGCAAATAAAGATAAATTCACTGTCAAGGCTGAGAGGATGGCACACAGTCCCACAACTATATGTAACAAGCCTGGAACTTTAAGATCTTGGGCACCTGGTGAAGTAGGCATGTTGTTGCAACACACTGCGGTCACACCAGAAAATAGCATCAGTTCTAAAGGAAACTTTTTTTCACCAGTCTCGTGGCCACAACAAAATTACTGAGAGACAGCCTCCAAGTGGAGTACATGAACAAGAGAATTAGTGTGGGCGAGTTGAAGTGATGTATGATATGTGAAATATATTGCCTTTCAACTACAATTAATTGAAAACAGTATAAAAATGTCACTAATGTCAGCATGCAGAATTGTTCACAATGCTATTAGAAGATGAAAAGAAATGCTGTGTCAGGATGAAATATTCCAAGTGTTCATGTGTATTATCTGCATTTATAATGTGAATTCACTGAGGAAGACCTTACCAGCTTTGCTAAAGCACAACTACGCTAATAAAGTAGCTGAGAGATTGTTAAGAAGTTAGGTGATTTACTATAGGTATCACAGCATTACAAAAATCTCTAACTGGCACTGAATTGCTTCAGCAAAAAGAATGAACGCATTTAGACAAATTGTGGACAGCAACATATGACCACCATCAAAGACTATGCTGTGCTTCCAGTCAAAAAATTCAGGTTAAAACTTGTTCTTCCTGCTTCTGTCCCGCAGCTGTCCATCAAAAGCAGCTTTCTCCCTGCGGTCTATCAAATATTTCCCTCACAAATCAATTTTACACATGATCAGCCCATACCCCTACTGAGCTGAACCTCCCCGTTAATTAAGTGAAGAAATTACCATATATATTATATTAATGCAAACATCATTCAGCTAGTAATTCACGGCTGATCTGGATAATGGAAAGGTTGAACACCCATTAACCCAAGCCAACAAAATGGGTTGGCTGAGAAATTCTAGCAGGTCTCATGTGACTCTTCCCTCTAACTGCAGCTCTGCGGTATCTGCTATTGTAATAATTAAAATCCTCCCGGTAGATCAATACTGGAATCTCTTTATGGGAAGTGCCCTGATGGAAATGTCTCAAGGAAGCTGGGGCTGTGGAACTCTGAAAAATTCATTTTTTTTTATCTGACAATTATCACCACACTGCAGACTAATTCAACAGCGCACCCCTCTCACTCTGCTTTGAATGCACTGGAGATTGACATCTAAAAAACCCTAACATCTCATTTTAACAAATAAAGGCACTATTTCCACATACAGTTTGGAATTATCAGCAATCATGAAACCAGACAAAAAATTAATATACATTAAGCACTTCATCTTCTGATGGCTTCCTCTGAGTTTCAGTTATCGCTGCCTTCTCCTCATTTCCTCTCTTTGTATCTTCCTGTATTGATCTTTGCCTTTTCATCTCTTGAAAAAAGGGGAAAGACATGTAAAATTATTATAAAGCTTGATATTTGTGTATTGAAATGTGGACTTACATTATCAGGATTTTAATATATTTATTGTTAAATATTATTAAATCATAAGATGGGAAAACATGTTTTATATTTTCTCCTACCTGGTCGGTTCTCAACATATTGACTGAAAGACTGGAGCTGAGTTTTCCTGACTGTAGAGTCCTTGCTGAACACAACAGGATTTCTAAAACGTTCTGTTGCTTTTTGTAATCGCTCAGCACGATGTTCTTCTGTTCCATTCTGTCAGAAAAACAAGACATACAACAGATTCTTTTGTTTACAAATGTGAAGTCACACATTGGAAAGGTATGTTTCAATGACAGAACACAATGGAGGTTTTGCAGAGAATTTCACAACTCAGATTGCTGTTTGTGTGGGATAAAAGTATCAGCTGCTGAAAAAGAAGCAGAGTGATGAACTTTTTTTTGGTGGTGATTGGTTTTGGTTTGTTTGGCATCATCATCAGGCAAGACTCTGTATTACTCAACAGCAAGATCTGTTAAGTATGGCCAATATCTTTCAGTGATGTGGATTTTAAATGACAGATAACTCTTTTACAACTTTAATTTGTCCTGCACGGTATACATTAGTGCCAATCTGCATAGTGTATACTCCTAAACCTGATCTATAATCACTTTAAAAGCATGTTGCCTTTAGTCTTTCTCCATCACCATTCTGCCCAGTAAAGAATTCTATCGTTTTGTATAGTCCCACAGACTTGTATGACAAGAAGAACTAGTTTCTAATTTTATGCCCATTGAGATAAACCACTAATGCTGGATGAAGGCTAAAAGGTAGGATTATAATACTATCCCACTGAACTGCATTTCATCAGCTATAACTTTCCAAAGCCAGATTTGTAAGTAAGCCCTTTACAGCTAAGGAAACTACAATTATCTTTTCCAGAGCTTCCTATGTTAATACTGGTAACAAATTCAAATGGTTCTATCAACATGAAATATCCCAGAAGACTGAACCACTGCAATGTGTGGAAACTGCAGATACCGAGGTGCTGTGTACCAAACAAATATTTCATTTTATACCTAATCTTTTATTATTTTTATTAAGTGTTTTGAAAGTAAATAGGGAAAGGCTAAGATGCATGACTAATAGCTAAGCCTGCTGAATGCTGAAACTGGTTATCAAAAGCTACCAAGACTTTGCCCTTCCTCTGCATTGAGACAATCAGTAATGAGGGAGTTCTCCAATGGCCTATTCTCTAGCCTCGAGGAGGCCTGGGATACAGAATCCTCAAGGGAAGGTAACAGTTTATCCTTTTCCACAAACACAGAATGCCTCATTTATAAACGTGTAAACTGCATTTTATTAAAACACAAATCCAACTCAATGCGGAAAGCTCCATGAGAACAGATGGACACCATATATTCTTTGCAATACCATTTTTAAACTCTTAGTTAAAAAGACACACACAAAGGCACGCTGTTAAGTTGCACCTTTTGTTGGAGTAACTTAAAAAAAAATCAATTAATACAGAAAAGCTTTATAAAGAAACACCATTTTCATCAGGTTAGCGGATATCAAATTGCCCTAATGAAGGTGCCTGTGTGCCATTTATTGAACTATGCTTTAAAAAAGTATCACTCTCATTAGATGTATGTCTTTTCAGATGTATGTTTTTGGGCTGTTATGATTCTGGTTTTAAATAAAAGGTGGCTTCCTGTTGTTAGGACAATAGATATTTGACAGTCTGAACTCAAGTCTTTACCAAAATAAACAAACAAGGCTAATTTTTTAGGCCTGGCAACATGCTAAAATATCAGTGCGATTAGCAAGTAAATCCCATTTTAAGAAACCTTTTTATGACTAGGGACTTCTGCCACTTTACAAATGTATTCCTCTAAGCCCACTAATTCAGTTAGCCTTTTCAATCCATTGTATTATTCTTGGGCCAGCTTCATTTTGCATTAAATCCACTGCAGAAAGCTAAATTGAACGCAAAAATCAGACTTGATCCAGGCTTCCTTTTGTTCAAAGATAGAGACCGAAAGTCCTCTACTGCTGCCACACACTTTCATCACCAATTTATAGGAACCGACAGTGTAAGGGAAAAGCAATGAAAGTCATTGTTTTGGGACTTCAAAGCATCTCTGTATCTGGGGAAGGAAATCCTTTCAGTCAGCAGTGCTGTCCCCACAGTCTGCAGGTGGGTGAAAAGTTATACACAACTGGAAGTGCCCCAAAGCCATAGAGATATTAATGACATGCACAGGCTATTTTTTATTTAGTTGTAATAACTTAAAAGGGCCTAATTAAGAAAATGCAATGGAAAACTCATAGGTATGTACTTTATGTTAAAATGGCGTACATTAAAGATTGACAAAACATGCAGCATATATACTTGTCTTAAAATTCATTTTTCTCAGAGTCACTCACCTGCAGATTACACAGACCTGTATATATATTTTACAACATAATACATTCTAGTTTTGGTAGAGCAAAACAGGTGGTGAGACTTGAAAGGGAAGAAAAATATGTGGTGTCCAATTTTGCTCTCACTGCAGTCAATGAGAATTTTGCCACTGACTTCATCAGGAGCAAGACTGGGTCCACTGTTTCTTCCTATGCCTTCATTTCAGATTTAAGTGGTAAGCTGAACAGTAAGAATTTAGAGGTGTTCAGACAGACCTCACGATTATGCCAGCCAATTACAGCTATAGTATGGCTAAAAAAAAAAAATCATACTATAAACAGAAAATGTGTTGATTAATACATAGAAAAAACCCCCACTGCACTGCAAACTCTGCAACTGCACTGCCCAGCAGATTTTCTGCATTTCTTACTGTGATGGATTTGATAAGAAATTATTTTCCTCATCATAAAGTACAAAACAGAAATCAGAACACACAGGCACTGAGATAAAAGCATTAATCAAAACTTACCTTAATGTCTTGCTCTGAGCTATCAGTTACAGCTTTCTGAGCCGCACTGGAGAGTGAATTTGCCACCTGTGGCTGAGCTTCTAGGAGCTTCTTCAGCTTCAAATCCACCAACTTACTGTTTTGTTCTGCTAAATATGCAAATACCATGTACAACAGAGTGAGATGCATTTAAATGGAGAGTTGCTACAACAATGTATCAGTTTAATAGAATTCGCAGTACTATCATTTTAAACTAAAAAGTGAAAACCGAGGAGAAAAAGATCTTTCAAGCACATATTGAACTAGAGCTGTATGTGTTACACATACAAACATTTCCCAAGTTTTCTTAAAAACATACATTAAAGAAAGTTAGCACTTGGTTCTGCACCATCAAGTACAGCTTGTACTATGTTATAAAGTAGTGAATGATAAACACATGAACTTCACAAAATGTAAAGTTCCTCTCAACTGGTACACACATACTCTGGCTTCTCTTTCGGAGATATAAAAACTCCTAGAGAACAATTTACTTTAAAATGGAATATTAAAAATTCATCAGGTATTTTAGGTTCTGATAACCATTCAAGTTTACAAATAATAATAATTTAACACAAGGGTCCTTGGGCACAGCTTCTCAACTTTAAAACCAGAGTAACAACAAAGCCATCTTTCTAGTAATGTTTGTTATAAATTATGGAATATAATGGAGTTAGAAATGAAATCAAACACTTTTATTACGCTATAAAAAAAATAAAATCTTCAGGAGCCTCATCCAAACCCCCAATGAATCATGTCACTGGAAAAATTCCTATGGACTTTGCATCAGGGCTCATATGTACAATATTTCACTTCCCATTAATGCTTATTTGACTACATGCAAAGTATATAGTTTTTTGTATGTGAGTAGTGTGTGCACGTACGGACCCACACCCACACCCCAACCATACATATGACCACACACATATTTGAGAGAGAGAGATGTTAATAGAATATATTACAATTTTGTGAGCTACAGTCACACTGGTAGGCAGCAGAAGGTGCATCACCTGAGGCATTATGAATGCAAGTCATGCTTGGGGTGAACACACTGCAGAACAGCACTTACTACATGTGTTCTACAGGTGTACCTTGCACTCCAAATTGCAGTCCTGTACCCACAAGCTAGAATGCAGGAAGGAGGAGCCAAACTAATTTCCTAACGGCACTCCTTCTAAGGCTTGGAGGTCCTGTGAACAGTGTTGGACATCCTATTCTCCAAAATATTCCTGGGGAGTTAACAACCAAATATCTGCCTGCCTCCTACAGAGTCGTGATATGATGGGGTGTGATGAAGGACGGCTTCACTCTTCTCTGACACACTGATGCATGATGGCCATAATTTAGCCTAACATATGAGTGCACACACATACGCACTGGCTTATACAGAAACACCATGCAATATTTGTAATACACAGATGTTCACATTTTATAAAATACATTCACAGCAGCACATGGTAGCAGCATTAACAAATATTGATGCAGGATTTAAAATCAACAACTTCCAGATTTTGAAAAAAAGTTCTCAAACCAGTTTCCTTTTACTTCATTTATGGATTCTGCCTAAAATTCTATGGAAAGAAGAAGGGTTCAGCAGGTAACAAATTCATTAATCAAGTCACCAATGATCTCAAACAGAAAGGACCCCTTGCGTGTGCATCCCATCCATCTGTCCCCAATAGGATCTCTCTTACAAAAATGGTCCACAGAAAGAAAGGTTGGAGAACCACTAGGTTAGGAGACTTACCATAAATAATCAATTCCTGATTGTCTTCTCCTCCCAAGTATAAAGGAGTAACTCACCTTGTGCAATAATGACGGTTCTTCGAGCTGTGTCCCTATGAGTGCTCCAATGTAGGTGTTGCTGCCTCCCTGAGCTGCAGATCGCAGAACTTCAGTAGCAGGGTCCATTAGGCCCACACATGTGCTGTCCCCCGATATGCTGCGCCACGAGTCTAGTCAGCATGCATGGGCTAACCCCCCTCAATTCCTTCTCTGCCGCAGAGTCACTGACAAGAACTCTGAAGTAGAGAGGAGGTGGGTGGATTGTGGAGCACCCATAGTGACCATTCTTGAAGAAGGCGATGGATGAGATCGATCTTGTGGCATGTGTACAAACTGAATATGGAAGGGTCATGTTGCTAATTTGGTAGCACTGTCTGATGCAATTCGGAACCCACTTAGTGAGCCTTTGGTTTGATATTGCTGAGTCCTTGGATCTTTCCACAACGGAGAAGAAAAGTCTAGGACAGTGGTCTCCAAACTTTTTGCCCCCACCCCTCCCTTACCTGGTTCACGCCCCCCTGGGAGCTGTGTGATTGGGGGCTGGGAGCAGGCCTGCGGTCGAGGCCAGAGGCCGCAGTGGGAGTGGGGCAGGCACTGCAGCTGGGGCCTCGGCCAAAAGCAAGGCCACAGTCGGGGCCAGGAGCTGGAGCCAAGGGCCCCAGTTGGAAGCAGAGCCCCGGCCGGGAGCGGGGCTGGGAGTTGGGGCCGGAGTGGAGCTGGCGGCAGATTGCTCCCTCCCCGCCTCCTGGGGGCTGGCCTGGGCCCCACTGGGCCCCCCAAATGTTCCTCTGGGCCCCCCGAGGGGGCACACCCCAAAGTTTGCGGACCACTGGTCTAGGGGACTTCCTGAAGACCCTCATCCTGTCAAGGTAGAAGGCCAGGACTCTCCTGATGTCGAGGGTATAAAGTATAGCCTCCCTGTTGCCTTGGTGAGGCGTGGGGTAGAAGACTGGAAGGTGAATCAATTGATTCACGTGAAACAGAGTGGTTACCTTGGGGATGAATTTTGGATGCGCCCTGAGCATAATCTGGAAAGAATACTGTGTAGCAGGGATGTGCCATCAGGGCTGCTATCTCTCCTATTCTTTTGGATGAGATAATCGCTATCAAGAACGCCATTTTCGTTGCTAGATATCAAAAGATTTAGTTGATAGATGTCAAAAGTCAGCCCTTTCAATACCAGGTTTAGATCCTACATGGGGTTAGGAAGTGGAGGCTGAGGCTCAGCGGGAGGAAGTGGACACAGGTGTTCTTGACTGCTCTCAACTCGAGGAGATTGATGAGGGATATCTCTGCAGGCGACCATTTGCCTTATGTCACGAGGCCATTTAAACGCATGCCCTGCCCTGTGTGTGATGCATTGGTGCTAAGGAGCGACGATGGTGATGTCTGCGAGAAGGGGATCCCTTTGCACACATTTATTTTATTAAACCCTAGAGGAATCGTTTTGTGGTTGGGTCTGACAGCACTGAGTACCCCTCTACAGGTTGGTGAAAAGCTGCGATAGCTGCTAGATGGACCCTAAGAGAGCTTAGGGATAGTCCTGACTTTTTAAGGGTCAGAGCATGGTCTAGGATGTGTGGAAGAGATGTGGATGTTGGGCAGATTTGTTGGGACATGCACCAAATCTGAAACCTGGACCATTTCTGCAGGTAAGTGTGTCATGTGGAGGACTTCTTACTGTGGAATAGAACCTCTTGTACTTCCCTGGAGCAGGAGCTCTCTCGCTGCTGGAACCATGCTTTGAGGCAGAGAATCCCCAGGTTGGGATGCCCTTTGTCCTGTGAGAGGAGGTACGGAATAGCCGGGAGTGAGATGGATTGCACGTTGCGAGCTGTGCCAAGCAAGGGTACTAGGTCTATCTTGGCCAGGTAGGAGCGACCAGAATGATATGAGCGCTGTCCCTTTTTATTTTTAGTAGGACCTTCAGCAGTAGAGGGAAGGTGTAAAGAAGTTTCCCGTCTCATGGGAAAAGAAGGGCATCGCTCACGGAGTGTTGTCCCATCTCCACCCTGGAGCAGTAGCATGGACATTTCTTGTTCTTGTAAGTAGCAAATAGGTCTATGGATGGTGATCCCCATTGTGTGACGAGGTCGTGGAGCACAAACGGATGTATCTCCCACTCGCGACTGAGATTGTCTACTATTGAGTTCTGTGTGCCGGGAGGAAACCCATGGACAGGGTGATGTCATGGGAGATGCACCAGTTCCATAATGTCATTGCTTCTTCACATAGGGAGGGTGACCCGATCCCCCCCTTACTGATTAATGCAGTACATGTATGCTATATTGTCTGTTAGGATCTTTGTGTATGATCCTGCAATCAGCGGGAGGAAGTGGACACAGGTGTTCTTGACTGCGCTCAACTCGAGGAGATTGATGTGGAGGGATATCTCTGCAGGCGACCATTTGCCTTGTGTCAAGAGGCCATTTAAATGCATGCCCTGCCCTGTGTGTGATGCATTGGTGCTAAGGAGCGACAATGGTGATGTCTGCGAGAAGGGGATCCCTTTGCACACATTGGCCAGGTCCTTCCACCAATCTAAGGAGTTTCTGATCCTGATAGGGAGTGACAGGGGTTTGTCCAACCTGTCCCTATTTGGTCTGTAAATCGAACTGAACCACTGTTGGAGGCATCGCATGTGGAGTCTGGCATGCGGTATCACTGCCTTGCCCGCTGCCTTATGTCTTAAGAGTTGGAGGTGGAGCCTGGCTGCATTGTACAATGTCTATGAGTGAAACCAGGGATAGGAATCTGTGTTGGAGGTTAGGAGGGCTTTGGTCTGTAGGGTGTTCAGGTCAGCCCCTATGAATTCCAGGCATTGCTCTGCAGTGCGGGTTGACTTCTGGGTGTTGATCTGTAGACCCAGTTCTGTGAACAAGTGTATCGTAGTATCAATGACTTGGTGAGCCTCCTTGAGAGATTGGGTTCGGAGGATACAATCGTCCGGGTATGGGTAAATCATTATCCTTTGTGAGTGTAAATGAGCAGATACCACTGAGAGAATTTTGGAAAATACTCTCAGGGCCGATGAGAGCTTGAAGGGGAGGACTCTGTATTGGTAATGATCATGTCCCAGAGTGAACCTGAGAAATCGTCTGAGAGTTAGTAGGATCAAGATGTGAAAATAGGTGTCCTGGAGGTTAAGGGCCAAAAACCAGTTTACCAGTTCCAAGGCTGGAATGATCATTGATAAGGTGACCGTCTTGTGCTTCTGAGCCTTGACAAACTTGTTGAGAGCTCTGAGGTCCAATATGGGTCTCCAACCTCCCTTCCTTAGGGGCATTAGAGTAGAATCCCTTGCCTCATAGATGTTGAGGTAGTGGTT